TTTTGAAGCAGAGACAAAGCCCGTCTTGACATTTACGGCACGTGCAGCGGGAGTGCGGGGTGTGCGGGGCTGCGGGACAGATGGCGAGTGAAACAAAAGGGGAGGCAAGAATGGGAGCTGAACAGATTGGGAATTTCCTGCCCGTCCCTCTCCCCCGTGCCCAAACGCTGCTGGGGGTGTGTGGGGAGCGGGACTGCCTTTCCCCAATGGTCCCCCCAAAGTGGTCGGTCCCTTGGGGGGTATTGACCCCCACCAGCTGCTCTAGCCCTTGGGCTACGCATCCTCTCGGAGCTGGGTGGAGAGACCCAAAATCCCGAGCACCGAAATCCCATCTCCGTTTTACTCCTGATGTGGAGCTGCAGGAGCAGGACCCTCCCGTTCCTCCAAGCCTCAGTCTGCTCCTCTGTGAAATGAGACCCCGGCTCGTCCTGGCAATCTCTGCCGGTGATGTGCCGGGCCCTTCCCTGGCGTCTTTTCCTGCTGTCTCCACAGTTTTCTTATCTCTTCCCAGCAATGTCGCAGCTGCTGCGGGCCAGATCCAAGCAGCTTATTAATAATCAACTTTTATTGCTCGTCACATTGCAAGCATGTCTGCAGATGGCCAGGCACGGCGGTGGCACCCGTGACCCAGCCACCGATCCTTTTGTCCTCGCAACTCCTTCGCTCAATAAAGGTTTTAGGTTAAGTCCAGGAAGAATTGAGCAAAGGGAAGCGACGAAGCGCGTGACGCCGGTTTACCCTTCCCTGGGCTGTGACTCACGTCAGCTCTGCAAACGCTCACACGCCAAATCTGGAGCGCAGGGACGGTGCCGTGCCTGGAACTCACGTCCCTTGACTGGGGGGTTGCTCTGCCTCCCCCCCCAAACTCCTCCAGCCACCTTAGGGTCAAACTCATCGCCTGCTGCCTCGCTGCTTTCTTGTGTACTTCTCCAAAGGAAAATATTTTGGGAGGTTGTTTTTAAACACAAATCGTTTACTTCCTGGGGAAACATCCTCCTAAAGGGATGTTTGCGAATGGCCCGGGAAGCGTTTGAGCTGAGGGATGCTGCAAAGGGGGGGAAAAATGTGAGGGGGGGCAACAGAATCTGGAGGAAGAGGCTGGAGATGAAATTTGGGGGTTTTTAGGGGAGCTCTGGAGAAATCCTGCCCATCCCCATGGGGCACCCCGTGGGAGCTGCTGGTTTTAGGGTGCCAAGGTCCAAGGCCCGTGGCCTCTGCGGACGTGGGCTGGTGAGCTGAGGGATGCTGCAAAGGGGGGGAAAAATGTGAGGGGGGGCAACAGAATCTGGAGGAAGAGGCTGGAGATGAAATTTGGGGGTTTTTAGGGGAGCTCTGGAGAAATCCTGCCCATCCCCATGGGGCACCCCGTGGGAGCTGCTGGTTTTAGGGTGCCAAGGTCCAAGGCCCGTGGCCTCTGCGGACGTGGGCTGGCGGAGGACGTCCTCCTTTATGCTTCTCTGTGGATCTGGACAAAGCCCTGCACTCCCCCCTCCTCCTTCCCGGTGGGATACAGGCTGCTGGGCCCCCTGGACCCCGCACCTCCTCCCAGCAGCGGGAGGAGGAGGAGGAAGGGGATGAGGAGGGGGGCCAAGCCCCCATCCCTGCTATCCCCACCACAACAACAAGGCGGTGATTGGGCTCCCGTGGGCTCGCCCAGGACCAATGGGGTCTCCCCCGTTTTTGGGGAGGGGGAGAAGCGGGGCAGTGGGTTGTGCTGACCCTCTGCCCTCTCTCCTCCACCCCTGCGGGACGCAGAGCCGGTGCCCCGGCTGGGGTAACCCGGCAATCCCGATCGCCCTCACC